AGATGTAATTAACTATAGGAGTTTGCCCTTATAGAAAGTTTTTCCGAACACAGCTTAATATAAACCTGATTTAATTCTTCGTATTAAATAGGGGAACTTGTTGGCTTAAAAATAAAATGGTTTTTGCAAACCAAACAGATGTCATATATTTCTTAGTTTATTTGATCGAGTCTCACCCTCAAGTCTTGTGTTTATCTTTTGGGATATATACATGGCTTGAGGTATAATGTTCTTTCATTTAAACTATGAAGGATATGATATATATATATATATATATTAAATGTCTTTCTGAATGGGGCAACGAAATTCCGATTCCGTCAACCGGCAGCTTCTAACGGGTAACTCCTTAACTAAAATAATGCCAACAAACACACACACATGCAATGCACACCCAATATGCAAGAAAGAGAACACAACAAATTTAATATTAAATATTTTTTTAGCATTTTGTCTTTATAATTTTTTTTCAGCTTTTTAACCTTGTTTTTAACACTTTCAAGAAATCACAACAACAATAAATATGCAATAACAAAAATAACAAACACAAAATAAATAATAAAAATAGGAAATCAAAAAATACCAAACCTAAGTCTTTCAACAACAATTTTCATATAACCAAAAATAATTATTAATTTTTTTTCCAACAACGATGCCAAAAATTTAACGGACCAATACTTACCACGAAGTAAATTAACCATACAACGCAAGTGCACATCAAGTAGTATGGGGCCTAAAAGTCTGCATATCGATCCCACGAAGAAAGTCTTTAACAATTAATTCTGTGAAAAAAAAACTCTAGTTTACAAATTTAGTGCACATCACTATGCGTGATTGCAAAGAAGGTTTAAGTCCTAAGATTCTAGCAGAAACTGAGTAAAATTTAGGTGACGAAAAATAAAAAAAGTGGAAAAGATCTTGCGAGTTCCTTTAAGACTTATGAGACTTGTGCCTCAGTGATTCGAGGATCATGGTGATCCTGGCTTTCCTCAATGTTTTCCTACATGATTATTGTCAATTTGGGATATATTACTCCTTATGTTTATGTCTAGGTCAAAAGATGCCTAGAATCCATGAAGTTGAGGCTCCCTCAATCCCCATGACATTCTACATAAATGTTCTGATCTCTGGAATGATTGTGGAATTTCGCTAGAATATGTCAATTCTCTTGAAATTCAATATGATTATTTTTACAAAATCAAAACATTTAAGATTTACTTTAAAAAAATAGAAATTATTTTTTTAATTCGAAACCCATAAAAAATTAAACAAATATGATTTTAACAATAAAAAATAAGAAAAAAAAAATGATCCTAAATAGAATTTAAACAAATATGTTTTACAAAAATAATATAAAAAGTAAAACTAAAAAAAAATAAAATCAAAACAATTCCAAATGCACATTCCTCTGTGAATAATGATTTGAATTAAGCATAACTTTGGGCTCACCTTTGCCAAAAATAAAAAAATTTCCCTAGGGTTTACATTTCAACCAAAGTCGTGGATGAAAGACGCGTGTGACGATCTATGTAGCGAAGAAGAAGCAATTAGTGGCAAATATCCGAGGCCAGAGGACTGGAGGAGTGTCAGGCTTGCATTGAAAAAGTGCAGAGGCCATCGTTTCTGGAGCCAATCGCGTTATTCTTTTTGTTTTATTTTGAATTTTATAATTGGGGAATTTACATCCAGACCACCCATTCTTATATATTCACACATTTAAAACAAAAATTTTATTTTATTTACAATTATACCACTCAAATCTTCCAAATCACATTAAAATATCACACTTATAACTTCTAAAGTGAAGTAGCATTTTCAAACATAGTTAAGATAGTATGTAAGAATTAAAGTTTAGATGTTAGATGTTTAGATAGATAAGAATTGAGTGGTACATATGTAAATTTACTTTTATAGTAGTATTTAAAGCACCTAAATTTTATCATTTTATACTTCATAAATTAAAATTAAAATTAAAGATCACTAAAAGAAAATTGGAGACAAACTAACATTGGCTCAATATTAAAAACACTCTAAAAATCAAACTTTTCATGTTGTTGTATGATATGAAATCTTTATTTCATATTCACCCATATTTTACACATGCTATTATTTTTCTACGTTAATTAGCAATTTTCATGAAAGTTGAGGTTTACCTGCAATCAATGTAGCCAACTGGGACGAGATATTGAAGCCAGCTTGTACGACGAGATCATCTCTCTGGGAAGAGTAGGTATACGTTGCAGGAGAATGATTTACCTTGTCTTAATGGCTGCCTTTAGTCCTCGTGATTGAATTTGGATCCACCTGTAAAAACAAATCAACGAATATTAATCTAAGCCATCTTAATTTATTGATTCAGACCATAAATTTTTACAAAGGAAGAATTCAATTTGCTCAAACACTTCAAAAAAAGTAATTTTTGAAGTTATTAGATTGAATCAAAAAAATTTAATAAAGAGCTAAATAAGCAAATACAACATTGAAATATAGATTCAAAAAGATTTAAGTTTGTTTATTTGAACTTATGACCTCTAAATCAACAAAAAGAAACTAAAACAATTACCAGCCCAACCTGCATTCTTAACAACATAAAGCTGACTAATACAACAGTGAAATGAATATTAACGCAGACTTGGGTCCGGTAAGTCCCTCCTTTTGATATTATTATTAGTCCTTTTTACTGGTTAAAAGTAAAGTACATTCAGATATAGACGACTCGAGAAAATTCAAAGACCACTATGCTGGACCACAGAAAGCTTCCCAGCTTCAGAAAATCACATCTTTCTTCGTGGGCTTCAACAGATTACATTAATTTGCAAATATTTGCATTTATTGCAGTTAGATGAAGAGTAAGAATTCCACTTTTTCTAGGAAGCAGTGCTTTGCCAAGCAATAGAAAAGGCCACTTTTTCTGGATCTACTTTGTTACATATAACCTCAAATCTGGACTTTTTTTCTTTATAGATTGATAAATTACACTTCAAAATTTACAGAAGATACTTAACATGTCATATAGTAACATGAAAAATTTTCACTGCGACCTTAACTACCGTAATATGTGGATTCTTTTCATGACGGCCTAATAGCTTTTATGAAGCTTGGCATGTGAGTATCATGTGATTTTTGCTCAACTTTCAGAATCAACACAAAAGATGGTACACGCCAGGCTTTCCCCACGTACTCCAAGTCCAGAAGTCATAAACCTTTTTGTGAGAACTCGTGAGTGTCCTTTTCCAGATTAAAAAAGTGAAGCAACTGGTTGGAAACAAAAAAAATCTGTATTTTTGAATAACTAACTTGATTATACTTCTGGCTGTTTTCAGGAAGGTGAGCTTACCAGAGAATGAGCATTCCCAGTACAATCACCAAAAAGAAGATACTAGCTCTAACTCCAAAGTTTACCTTCATCAACCAATAAAACACATTTTCATTGGAAGACAACAAAAGAGTTCATCCAACAGAAGGATGTCAAGGGCCTACAATAATTAACAGAGCAAGGACCTCAGGGAATTCGAAATCAGTAGAACAAAACCTAAACTAATGTGCTCTTCTGCTCTTTATCTATTTGGCTTTTCGCTTAATTAGTGTAATGCATATGCAGCAGATTTTAAAACTAATAAGACTAACAACCCATGCTTGAGAACATATTTTGGACATTCTTTGTATGCTCCCACATGACATCTATCAAAATTTGAAGTCTTCTGGTCTCATCAAAGAAGCATGCTAGTTGCCACCACCTTCTCCAAACAACACACATGATCCCTTTGAAAAAAAACCAGTATCCAGAATCCATCATCATCATTGTCCTTATTTCAACTATTTAGGGTTTTGGCTAGATGAATCCTAATTTTACATTCGTTCATGCAAAGTACTATTTGAGGAGTTAAATCCACTGATACTAGTTAAGGGTATGAATCCTAGTTTATGTCCAAGTCATCTATTCTCTAAATATTTCATTCATTATTTTAATTTTATAATTATTTCAACAGATAATTTCACCATTAAGAGCAAAATCATCTGCAAAAATTGAACACTGAAGCACATTGCTTAGATATCCTTTATAAGAAGCTATATGACCAGTATAAAAAGCTATAGGACCAATATTGATAATTAATATAAATTAGTATCATTAGAAACGCTTAGGTCACTTCACAATTACTAATAAATGTTGCGTCATACATATTTTTATTAATATCAGGATTGCCTTGACACGCATCTTTATGCCAAAGAGTACACCGAATCAATTATGTTGGCATTTGATATAAATAAAAATTAAATAAAGATCATTCCATCGCAACATATGCATAGCTATTATCATAAAAAATGTCATTTATATAACATATCACTCTAACATGAAATAAATCTGATTCTCTAGATATGACATAATTTTATTAAGCCTATATTCCATTACTTTTATCACATCATTAAACGAACGATGCATCGATTCATAAATGTCGGTACCAAAATGCTTCTAAAATCATTGGACATTCTCTTAAGACTTCAAAATTCTATTACAAAAAATTGTTAGCCAAATTAATGCAAAATCACCTTAACCATCCAAATCTGTTGGCAGGTTGGCCTCAATTAAGTACACCTGCCAAAACTAACCCGGCTTTGCAAAACGAATATGAAACTCAATTACAAGCAAAACCTTTTAATTTGCTACAGCTTTAGGTTCCATTCAATTATTCCATTGGCTGTTATAATTTCGGCTTTCCTTTTTCTTTATGTGAGATCACATGCTTGGAAAGGTTGTCCATTGCAAGATGATTGTGATATTGGCCGAAGAAAGCAAAATTAATTCAAACAGGACTTATTAATGAGAAAACAAGGAAATTTTTACATTATGAAAGAAATGAAAAGCATTCCTCTACAAAGAATTGATTACATTTATAAAGATGATCACTATAATCACTGCTATGATATCAGATACAGGTAAAAAGTCCCAAGTTAAAATACAGACTATTTCCGATGCTTTGGGAGGATAAATTAACAAGATCCAAAGAGCATTCTAAAAATAAATCTCTAGAACTCCACTCTGAGTACACTATCAACTTCATGTCATCAATAAGCGCAAACTAGCTCAACTCAATTACTCAAAAAATCCACATCCATGTTCATTTGGATTGCATGGCAGTTACTTCAAAAACTACTGTTAATGGAAACAACATCACCATCTTCCAAGATAAAAGTAGTTTCCAACTACAGCTTATTAGCTCTAAGAAATGCATGTCTGCCACTTCCAATACTACCGCATCAGAAAGACAATTCAGTAGTTGTCCTTCCTAATAATAAGACTAAAAAAATGATTTTTTTTTTTTACATCAGATATTTCATGATGTAACGACTACTCTTTCAACCTACTATTTCATCCACATAATCTTGCAGGTCACGTTCAGAGCATAGGATACATATATGAAATCCTGTCTGCCTTCAGTATAAATATCTTCCCTACCACTTCTTTGATTTCCAAACCACCATAACATGGCTTCCAATTGCTGGAAATCCTATTTACAGTGCTTTCATGATGAGTTTCAAATGGAAAGTGGTAGCTGTAGCTTCTCTAGTGATATTTTGCCATCCCTGGGAGCAACCATAAACAGGTCTATAAAACTCAGGAAGTACATTATATCTCCCTACGATCCATATTACAGGTACAATGTTATTCTGTGCTTGTATCTCCTTCACAGTAATGTTGACTCAAATTTTTTATACTCTTTCTTTCTTATGGCGATGTTCAACAGGGCTTGGGAGATTTTCCTGATTCTCCTGGTCATTTACTCCGCTTGGATCTGCCCATTCGAGTTTGCTTTTTTTAAATATTTACCAAATAACCTATTTTTTTTCGATAACATAGTCAATGGTTTCTTTACCATTGATATCGTCCTCACCTTCTTTGTCGCTTACCTTGACCATAAGACCTATCTCCTGGTAGATGACCCAAAAATGATTGCAAAAAGGTCAGTTTTTAAATGATTATTACATAGCATTAGCAGAGTAATGTGCATTACTCTAGTAAGTGTCTCTAAATGGTTTGCTTTTGGGTGGCATAAACCTCTATAATTATTGCAATCTGAATTTTACAGGTATTTATCATCATGGTTCATCTTTGATATCTGTTCAATAACTCCCTTCCAGCCAATCAGCCTTCTATTTGGTGAGCGCAGTAATAGTCTTGGTTTGAAGGTTCTCAATATGTTGAGACTCTGGCGTCTTCATCGGGTCAGTTCCCTTTTTGCAAGGTCTGAATCTTTAGACCTTTCTTGCTTATTACACCCTAAACCCTAAACCCTAAACCAAAATGCATTTAACCAAAACAATAAAAAAAAACTTTAAACCAAAATTCATTATTTGCCTGAATTGCTTTCCATAGGCTTGAGAAGGATATTCGATTCAACTATTTCTGGACACGAATCACAAAACTGGTCTCAGTAAGCTTGCTGCTCCAATTTCAAATCCACACAGGCTATAAAAACATTGTCCTGCATGCATTCATTCAAGTTTGATATAAGTGCAGGTAACTCTATTTGCAGTACACTTTGCTGGATGCTTCAACTACTTCATTGCTGATAGATATCCAGATCCCAAAAGAACTTGGATAGGTGCAGTGGTGCCTGATTTCAAGGAAGAAAGTTTGTGGATCAGATATGTAACAGCAATATATTGGTCTATTACAACATTGACAACAACAGGTTATGGCGACTTACATGCTGAGAACACAAGGGAGATGTTATTTGACATTTTCTACATGCTCTTCAATTTGGGACTAACAGCATATATCATTGGGAATATGACTAACCTGGTTGTCCAGGGGACAAGTCGTACAAGAAACTTTGTAAGCACTCTTCCAGACCAACTAAAAAGACCACAAAATTTCCATTTCATTCTCTTTCTTAAGTTCACTATTCGTTGAGGTTGGAAAGTGAATGAAATAAGTAGATAAATCATGAAACTTTTAAGCTGTACAGGAATAAATGGGTTCAATATGCCCATAATTTTTTGTGGACCAGGCTTATCAGAAAATTGAAAAAACAAATGTAAATGATTCAATCAGACTAAAATGAGTTTATTTATCCCAAACTAATCTGCATAAATTAATAGAAATTTGATCATATTGACAGAGTATGATATTTTTGTAGTATTATACTCTTACTAATACCAAGATTAATTAATATTCATAGATTGGTTCAAAAGTTAGAACGGTCAAAAAACAGATATTCACAAAAAAGAAAAAAAAAAATTTTAATTGTCGTTTGTGCTCAATTGAACTGAGCTTGAACTTGATTTTCTAGCTCATCAACTAAGTGAGTCTAACACAAACAAGAATCAACCTAATTGTGCTTGGCTTGATAAGAACTCTCTCTCTCTCTCTCTCTCTTTATATATATATATATATATATATATATATAATCAAAATTTTTTTTTGTGTTAAAATCTACTTTACTATGTTATTGTGAAAAAAAACGAACTATTTTTTTTTCATAAAATTTGAAGTAATCAATTGAAAATATTTGTAATGTTTTTGGTCATAGACTTGATTTTTTTTTCCATTCTTCACCCATATATGACATGATAGATAAGTCGAGTATAAACAAGATACTCTTAGCTCATTAATGAACTCGAGCACATTGGTACTCAACTCATAGTTATTGAATCAAGCCGAGCAATTCTTTTTGTAGCATTACTAATGAGATAGTAGTTTTTCAATGTCAGATTCAAGTGCATCAGTCAAGGTTTCTGCAATGATTACTCACCTCTTTTTAACCCTGCAGAGAGACAAAATTCAAGCTGCTTCCGGGTTTTCAGCAAGAAATCAATTGCCTCGTCATTTAAAAGACCAAATGCTATCTCACATATGCCTTTGGTTCAAGACAGAAGGATTGAAACAACAGGAAACTTTGAATGGCCTCCCAAAGGCTATTCGTTCAAGCATAGCTCATTTTCTGTTTTTTCAGATTGTAGAGAAAGCCTATCTTTTCCAAGGAGTCTCCTTTCATTTCATATTTCAAGTGGTGAAGCATTTATTTTAACTAATGCCACAAAAATTAATTCCTTAGTTTTTGCAATGTTCCCTTTATGTCACACTTTTCCGACTACTCAAATATGAAAATTAATAGGTTACAGAGATGCAAGCTGAGTTTTTCCCTCCAAAGGAAGATGTGATTCTGCAAAATGAGTCACCAAATGATCTGTATATACTTGTGTCAGGAGCTGTGGTAAGTTAAAATGATAAATTGATTCTTATGCTATAACTCTCAAATATCAATATTAACACATGAAAATTAGCTCACTTTATGTTTTTGTGACAGGAACTGAGAACATACAAAGAAGGCACCAAAAAAGTAAGAAATTATGTTTTGAAGAGCACAACTAACATCTAAAACTAATTAAAAAGCAGTAGATGACACTTTCCTCGTGCTTTATAGATCTTTGGAAGAGCAGTGGCAGGAGACGTCATTGGAGAGATAGGGGTTCTATACTACTGCCAACAACCTTACACAGCTCGAACTACAGAATTGTCACAAATTCTTAGGCTGAACAAAGCTATACTAAAGAACATAATCCAAGATAACAAAGAGGATGGAATTATCATCATGAGCAATCTTTTCCAAGTACACCAAATAAACTTTTTGAATTGTGAATGAATGGAAGTTAAAATGTCGAAAAGTGATAAATGGATTTTTTTTCTAATGACTTTAAATTAATGCTTCTCCATTCAATTTCTACAGAAGTTAAGGTTGCATAAAAGCTTATACCCTGGATTGGAGCCTAAAGATCAGAGATTAGCTCTCACAGAATTGCTAGAAGGGTTGCCAATCAAAGTAAATCAATGTTCTTGTGCTCAGCATTCTCTCTTTTGCCATGCCAGGAGAACGCAAACAGATGAAGGAATTTCATTATGCAGTACAGCAGGTACTGGTGAAACTGATACAGTCAATGAAGTTCTGAAACATAGAGCTGATCCAAATTCAATAGAGGCAGATGATGGGTGGACAGCAAAAGTACATGAGCTGAAATGCAAAAGGAACAAGGATATCCATGGTCTAAAATCAGTTCATGAAAACAAAACAGGATTCAGATGGGAACAACAGAAAGAAATTATGCAAACAACAAATGCAAGAGATGTAATGATTTCAGATATAGTGAAAAATTCCTGTCCAAGGAAAAGAAGAGAGTCATCTGACAGTGGTATAGAAAAGATGACTAAAAGGGTCACAATACATTTGCATTCACCGAAGGAGATAGCACCAATAGACCAGAATGTAAAGCTTATAATCCTACCTAATTCCTTAAACGAGCTGCTCAAGATTGGTAGTAAGTTTTATTACAACATAAAATATTTCATGCATAATTCTGCATTTGTAGAATAATTAATTAACTTGAAAATTGATAAGCAGCCCCCCCACACAAAAAACAAACACCAAATAGATAGATCTATTCACCAATTGTTAACCAAATTTCAAACTGGTAAAAACCAGAATGTATATACAATGGGTTCTATTTTATTGGCTTTTTCATTCTTGGTCATATTCGTGTACTGAAAAAATAATTGCAGGTGAGAAGTTTGTGGGTCACCTACCTACAAAAGTGGTCAACCAAGAGAATGCAGAAATAGAAGATATTAGAGTAGTTCGAGATGGGGACCACTTGTTCTTGCTCGAGATCTGAGAAAATGACTGCAAATCAAAATGTGAAATGGCCATTTCCAAGGTAGATGTTATGACCTGCAAAACATTCATGAAGAATCGAACAATCTATGGCCGATAAAAACAAAATAGTCAAAAATTTTAACAAGTTATGCTACAATTTGTAAAAAAAATGCATTGCAAAATTGAATTTCCCTAAAGCAATTTTAAAAGCAATGGATATTTTACAATTCAGTAAGAGCATTTTTATTGGTAACGAGGGTGGCATATTAAGTGACAGGATCACTGCTTCTAGCACAGTTGCTACAGTATTGATGGTACATATCTGCTTGCTGAAAATGAGTTACAGTATGCATAAAATTCTACAAGTGTTGAGAGTAAATTCTATTGAGTATCAATGGGAACATTGTAAAATTAGTTGGTGTTTATCCCCCATTAAATTATTAAAATGTAGCTTGAAAATCAATTTCAGAAAAAAGATGAACAACTATATTGTACATCTCATGTAGAGACGGTAACTATTGTTGGTAACTTAAATGGACTTGGTTCTAGTAGTATATCTTATGAGAGGTTTCATGGCGTGTGGGGAATAGAGATTAAAATGTGAAGGAGTTATACTTGATTTCAATCTAGAATACGATGGATGCTCAGAACCATCCTAGGGAAACCTACTAAGAGGTGTTAGAGGGAAGATGAAGAAATGGGGAAGGAAAATAAAACTCGAGATCCATACTTTTTCATCTTTAGTAGAAAGTTAAAAAAAACCTTAATAATTTCTAGAGTTGTATTTATAGACTTCTATAGTGATACATTAAATACAAAAGAGATTGTTTCCCAATTCAAGATAAGATTATTATTATCCTATTTAATATAAGATTGTTAATACATACAAAGACTGCCCTTCAAATTCAATTGCTCCCAAACGATCCATCATCCCAAGATGTCGGCAATAATCACAAATTATTATTAAGGAGTGTCCTACACAACCTCAAAACTGCAAACCACAAGTCATGCTACGGTATCCGACTCTCATAATCCTGGTTTGACATCCACAACTATCGGCAATAATCAATCTATTCTCGCATCAGACGTGGTCCAACAGATGATTATCTCTGTATTTTCTTCTCTTGGTCTTTAAGGGAAAGGTAAGACCATTACTTTTGTTCATTCTCTTTGGTTTGTTGATTCCAACGCCACAAATCATATGAATGACACATCTGATATATAGCATAATCAATGCCTATACACTGGTATTCAACATATTCTGATTGCTAATGGAAATAATATTCCAATTACGACAATTAGTGATATTAGCCCCTCCTTCCAACATAACTTGGTTTCTCCTAAATTATCTATGAATTTACTTTCTGTTGGGCAAATAGTGGATAATAACTATGATGTGCACTTTCTCGTGATGCTTGTGTAGGGGAAGGTGACAGTGAATGGGGCCTAAAGTGCAGATTATTTCCATTACAATTTATCATTCCTCAGACATTGTCATTAACTTCTTCAGTTGTTGAAAATAAGACTGGCATTTGGCATTTGCGATTGGGTCATCCTAATAATGTTGTTTTGAATCATTTGTTGTAAAGTGGTATACTTAGTTCTATAGATAAAAAATTATTAGTTGACTGTTCTTATTATAAACTAGGCAAAAGTAAGATGTTTTTCCTATTTTTGGCATTCATGCCAAAATATACTTTGACACCATTCATAGTGATGTTTGAAAGTTACACCAGTTATTTCACATACTCAGTATAAATAATTTTTGACATTTGCTGATGATTATGGTTGATTCACACGAATCTATTTTTCGCATTCCTAAGTAGAAGTGTTTACCGCGTTTCATACCTTTGTGACATATGTTGAAACTTAGTTCTCCACTTATATTAAGACCCTACAGTCTGACAATGATACTGGATACATGTCTCATGAGTTTTAAGCATTTCTTCATAATAAGGGTATTATCTCACAATTTTTATAATTAGTTGGCTAGTAAAATTATGAAATTAACCCAAGTAGTGCTTGAAGGAAGGGCACATCCACCCGCAACCTGATTTTTTAGCAACTGAGCCCTAATCTCAATAGACAACCCAAGCCACCAAGCAAGTGGAGGAGTCCCAGTACCAAGACAACGCCAGATTTGGGCCAAAGGGAGGACCAAAACCAAGAGTGATAGAAGACTACCAGTGGATGAAGAAAGTGTTCATTGAGCATATTGTAGAAGCTAATCCATTAGAGAAGTTTAAGGTTCCCTCCTTGAAATCGTACAAGGATTAGAGTGACTCTACTAACCATATTGCATTCCTTGAGTCACCACTTTGCCTTCTCAAGATCTCTGATGCATTAAAGTGTCTGTTGCTCTATACCACTTTGAGTGATCCCACTTTCAGGTGGTTCAACGGACTCTTCATAGGAATTATTAATTTCTTTGGAGCTCTAGGAAGTTATTTTTGGCACAGTTCGCTAGCGCTCAAAAGTCAGGAAAGGACACAAGATTCTTTGTGGTATGTGAAACAAGGACTGAATGAGAGCCTTAGAGCATATGTTACAAGATTCCAGAAGAAGATGCTCAAGGTGAAAAACCTAAAGTCGACAGTTGCTAAGACAACTTTAGCATAAAGGCTAAAGAGTCAATAGTTTAGATATTTTTTTGGGTTTATAGAAATCCAAGACGTTGACAGAACTCAAACAGTTAGCTAACGATCACATTACGACCGAGGAGTATATGAATCAACTGATTTTAAAAGGCGAGAAGTTGGATCGATAGTGGGGCAAGAACTGCTTGAGATGATGTATGGAGAGAGAAAGATGAAAGACAACCATTGTCCAAAGCACTAGAGGAGCCGCTCGTCTCAAAGGGACAATGAAGATGAATGCGATAGATGTAGATAGAAGATTAGAGGACGTCCATACATATGTTGAGAGTTTAGATGCCAAAACTCGTAGATGCAATCAATGATAAGGAGTACATTCAATAGGTGACTCCGATGAAAATTTGAGCTTCCCTCTAGAATGACAAGAAATAATGCAAGTATCATTGAGACCACGTACACGTGGAGGAATATAGACTCCTCCGTAGACTGGTGTAGGAGCTATCTAAGCCAGGAAGCCCAAGTTGTTTGTGACTCTAGAGGCCCACACTTAGTGGAAGAACGAGGCTTTTGTAGACAACGAACCAGGCGGGCATACCCGAGCCAATGCTATCCATATAGTGGGGATAACACAAGCGATATTGGATGGAACTTATTTCCCAAGATCAATTAAAAAGAAGTCCATTGAGGAACTACGATACTGTGACGTCAGTCTTAAAAAGGAAGCCTTTACTAATGCAAATCTTTACCTACCTGAGAATCTCTACAATGATGTCATTGTTCTTACTGCACTAGTCATTGAAGACGGATTTTACTACCAGTGATGGTTTAAACTGTTTTATTGTAATACCCTTTAGGCTGAAAATTGCTGGTGAAACTTATCAGTGTATAATAGATGTAATTTTTCTGAACAAAGTGGAAGAAACATTGAAATCTATGTGAATGATGTGCTAGTAAAAAGTAGGACGACGGAAGAACTGTTGTACAATTTAAAAGAAACTTTACAAACAATTAGAGAGTTTAATATGAAATTGAACCCATTTAGATGCACATTTGGAGCTTCTATGGGGAAGTTCTTGGGCTACCTCTATAAGCCAAAAAGAATTAAGGCTAATGCCGAGAAAGTGAAGGCACTCCTCGACATGCCTTCTCCCTGAAAGAAGTACAGAAGCTTACCGACCAAATTGTGGCCCTGAGCCATTTATTTCTAAGTTAAGAGATAGGTATGCCCTTTTCTTCAAGGTGTTGAGTAAAGCAAAGAAGTTTAACTAAGCGAACAAATGTGAGCCAACTTTCTAGAATCTGAAATAGTCGTTAATCTCTCCACTGTTGTTGCAGAGTCTAAAGATAATGGATGAACTTTCACTTTACTTAGGAGTTAGCCCAAAAGCTCTTAGTTTGATTCTCGTTTGAGAGGATTCAGAGAAGCAATTTCTCATCTATTACAATAGTTAGGTCTTCAAAGTGGTTGAGATAAGGTACCCTTTTATAAAAAAGCTAAATTTTGCTATGATTTTCTTGGCTCTCATGTTTCTACCATATTTCTAAACTGATCCTGTTAAAGTGGTCACCAATCATCTGATTAAGTCTATGCTCAGTCAGCCAGAACATTTAACTTGATTACCAAAATGGTCTGTAGAGCTCAACAAATGACCTTACTTTTGTCCCTCGAACGGTGATTAAAGCTAAAGAAGTAGCAGACTTCTTGATTGATTTCTCGGAATCAGATGGATCAGAAGAAAATTTTGAGCCAAACACACAAACTTAGATCCTTCATGTGGATGGAGCTTCAGGCAAGGCAAGAGTAGGAATTCGTCTAACATTAAGCAGCCTGCTCGAAGAGTATGTCGATCATTTGGTTTCTTTGATTTTGTTTTCATGAACAATTAAATAGAATATGAAGCATTGATAGTCGGACTACAGTTATCTCAGGAGTGGGCGCACGACATTTAGCACTGAAATTTGATTGTCAACTACTCATCAACTAAGTTAACGTGGAATTTGAAGCTCGAGATGAGATGATGGTCAAGTACTTGAATAAGGTGAAGATGAAAATTGGTGAGTTTATAAGATTCCGTATCAAACATGTTGGTTAAAAGAAGAACCAAGCAGTAGATCTCTTGTCAAAAAACATACACTTTGGAAACAGAGCGCCCTGAAAACTTTCTCAACCTACTATTGAAGGACTGAAAGTAATGGAAGTGAAGGCTAGTGATGTCGAAAGCTGGGTGGATCCTTACATCCAATGTTTCAAAATAGAAAAAAGCCTCATACAAAGATGGAGTGGGGATGACTTTAAGAAGTTCTATCCATAAAAAATGATTACTTTGTATCTGTGATTAAATGTGAGAAAACAATGTTACTATGAGTGAATTTGTCTTATTTATATTTTGAGAAAGCAAACTGTATTGCGATGTAAAAAACCCAAACTTAGGAAAAAACCTTGGGGTACCGATTGATCGACGGACCTCATGTCATAGCAAAACCCGGGGAACTAGAGTATCCAAAAAGACAATTGAACAAGTGTTATAACGCTTGGTTGCAACAATGATGACCAAAAATGCATTCTGATGCTTGGTTTCAATAAGGGTACCCAAAAAAATGTTCCAATTCCTAACCGCAATAATGAAGGCCAAAAATGCTTTCCAACCTTAGTTGTAACAAAGACAACCAAAAAAGTGCTCTGACGCCTTGTCACAACAAAGACGACCTAAAATAAGTGTTGTGATGACCGATCACAATTAAGATGACCAAAAAAAGCATTTCAAATTTTAATCCCAAATAAGATGGCCAAAAAAGTGCTCCGGCGCTTGATGTCAAGCAAATTGACGAAAAATGTTTCAAATTTTGGCCACAATACAATCATAAATTATCAAGGCATATGGCGTTTTAAAGAGCAAATAAAAAGCTCCACCCGCTCCTGATATTTTTTAGCTTTCTCCTTGAACTTTGAAAATCTCTCTCTCATGGATAGATAGAGGGAGGTCAAGTGGTGAGTGGAAGCGTAACCAAGGAGCTGGTAGCAATCGAGCGATTAACACAGTTTAATTTAGAGGAGTTCATTGAAATGCTTATCCAAGCTCGCTGACCACAAGATGTCAAAAAT